CTATAAAAAGGAGCAGCAAGCTTAATTTTTCTCACAATGTAAATTATATGTTTGTAGGTTAGTGCATCAATAAATTTGAACACGCTGCTTCGTGTTCAAAAAACGTTGGCGAGAATTTGAGAAAATTGTTATGGTGAAAAAAGGATTCCTCTGGAAAGTGGACAGCTGACAGCTGTTTCATATATTAACTTCTTGTTTGGATGCCTAGAGCGAAACTGCATGCCAGTACAGCCCACAACATGAAGCTTTTTTTTGGCTTCTCATCTAAATGCCTAAATCTTTTCGAGACACCGCTTGCAATTTGCCAGATCGTGTCAAATTCAGCAGAAAAATATTACACAACATGTTGGCGTTTTATAAAAATTGCATGTTGTCTTTATTAAGTATACAAATTTCTAATGCCAGCTTCAATGCGAGCTTTGTGCATAAGTGGGACTTCTATAGTAAATAGCTACATATCATAGGAACGATCGATCAAAACTGAAGACTGGAAAGAAAGTAATTTGGCTGTGAGAATTTAAAAATCTCAGGAAGTACTTACATATCAGCAATACAAACTGTGTTGTCAAAAGTTACATGGACGAAATCAGATAAATATTAAGAGTACAAATTATTCAACTGAACTCAAATTAAATAAATACTTTATAGGGTATTATTGTAAATCTGCAATCACATAAAAAATGTCTCTAAATGTGTACAAAACGTACAACTCGGCAATGTATTAAATGTGAAAATCTATGTTATTGCCTGTGTAGCTAAGGTAAAACAGATTTTTTTTGACTTCGCGAGTAATCCTGAAGAACGACCACATTATATGATGTCTTATAATAAAGATTCACCCAAAATCGTTTGAAACCCATTACTTTAAAATTACACAAAATCTGTTATTTCGGACTTTTTTCATGCCATATTCGTATAAGCTGTGTAGTGTTCAGTTAATACAGTATATGGTGAAACTAAGATTGCTGATGTTACTGATGTTGCTGCTGATGATGGCGCCGTTCTCGAGCTCGTTCAATGTGCCGCTTACGTTCCTCCTTCGTCCAGTAACGTCCAATTTTGACTTCCGACACTGTATCATCCTCTGTCGTAGTTAACTCATTACTTCGCGTATTTTTTCGAATAGCAACGTGCCCACGATTACGTACTGGCCGCTTTACAATGTATCGTGTTCCATCCGGACGGCGCTTTACTTTCCAGACCATGGGTATTTCCTCACCATTTTCACCTATCAGTATTGAACTCGGCTTGGAACTGGAAGCAATGTGGCTTTTATTTGCGACCTATTAAAAATACAAGATTTGTAGAATGTAGATATGACTAGGAAAAAGGTTAAAGGAAAATGTGATCTACGCAGTACTAGTACTAAATGGCATTCTCACCTCTTGACTACTAACGAAGCGATAGCGGCTCAAATTTGGTGCATTAAATTGGGGACAATGACTTTGCACCTCCTCAGCTGGCTTTAGTCGCATTAATTTGAGATCAGTCTTGAGCTGATTATTTTCCTCCTCGATGCATGCTTTGGGTGGGCTTTCTGAAATATGTAATATTTAAAAAATATAACTAATGCTTTCAAGAGCTCATAACTGAAACAAGTTTATTTCCTACCACCGTAACTCGTCAAGGAAAAATTGGAAGAGCAAAGACCTATGCGGTCAGACCTACCAAATGGTAACATTAACATACTGCTCACAGTAGTGGTTACAATCGCTTCTTTAGGTGAGAGAATGGGTTGGTTTTGGTTTTCAGCCATTTTGCTAAATTGGTTTGCACTAATTGGCGCTTCGTCACAAGTATTTGAAATCTGAATCTGGTGAGGCGAAGCGCTATTGTTTGACCCACCAGTGTTGTAGGCACTCGATGAGTTGTCAATTTCATCTCCCAGCATATAGTTGCCTATGATGTCGACATCTTTGGGTCCGCATGCACTGTGTGCGGCTCCACTACTGCTGGATCGACTTGTATTTGTCAATATACTACGGAGTGTGAATACACGACTGCACGTAGGCTGTTGTGCTGATTTCAGGACAGCGGGACGACCTACTAGAGTTTGCATTGCCCTTGGACTGGAATTGCCGTGGCCGGACTTGAGGCCCAACCATTGGGCAACACGTTGAGTTTGCTGCTGCATTTTCGTTTCCATGGCTTCAGTAGCTTCTATACCAGCTATACCTGTGGCTGTTGCTGATGAGCAGGAGCCCATCGCCGTCATATAGTTGGAGCTTTGATACGGTGAACAGTATAGCGGCTCTGATTCCGAATCCTCAGGAATAGTCTCATAAATATGCTCGCTTTCATCATACTCATAAGGGTGATGAGACTGACTGCTTTTTTTAATGAATTGATTTAACGCTTTTACATGGCTTAAGTTTTCGTCTGCGCGATGCTTAGTTTTGTTGCACGTTTTCTCAGATATCTCCGGAAATGATTTTGGCAAATATGTTTTTACGGTTACTTCCGGATCAGAATTCTGCTGGGTTGTTGAGGACGAGTTTTTGGTGGTGTTGTTGCTAACCGCTTCAGTGGTTGTAACATTATTAGTCTTCATGGACTGCACTTGACTTAGCAAGATCTTGTCCAATTTATCGACCACATTTGTATAATCATCGCGGAGAAAGCTATTCGCGTATTCAAAGTTACTCTCAATGTCTTCGTCATCGTCGTCTTCCTTTCAAGAAAATTGTATAAATTATGCATTAAAAGTTTGAAAAATGGCTTAATTTTCATTAAACACAAACAACTGCATTAGTTCCGTGTAGCAAGATAATATGCATGCATACAAATGAATGCATTCTATACACACTATTGCTAGTATTAACATGTGAATACATACATACACGTGAATGTATTCTGTCGTCCGTTTTATGCATACTATTGCTAGTATTAACATGTGAATACATACATACACATGTATGTATTTTATTGTCAGTTTTTTCTTAAACAACTGTGCAGTCACTTTAAAGGAAAAGAAAGAGAAGTACTTTTACTCTTACTGGATATAGCAGGCGACTAACAAGAAGCGTCACTGCAAAGGTACTCCCTGCGATCTGGGTTTCTACTTCCTCCTTGCTCTTGACGTCCATGCCATTAATGCGGAGAATTTGATCACCACGTCTAAGGCGTCCATCGCGTTGAGCTATACCTTCTGGGTCAATATCACTAATAAATACATCTTCGCACACATCCACATCAGCCTCTTCAGATATTACGTCCCCTCGGCTAATGTCGATATTTGATGCCTGATATCCATTACAGCAAACATTTATGCCTAGCTTTTCAGTGGTGGAATCATCTATCGTCTTAACAAGAGTAATTTCCTGTAAATTAAACCCGTAATTATGTGCATTTGAACTATTAATTTTTAATTTTTTGTCAAAATACCTCAATATCAATTTCCGGCTCCAGACATTGTTCAAACAAATGATGCTCTTGCTCTATGAAGTGATCGGCTATAGTGCGAACTAAATCCTGATCCTTGAGATTTTCTGCTGAGGTTTGAGTCTCCCTTGACACGGAAACGGCAGAGACAACTTCGACAGGTGGAACTGCAGACTCTTCCTTATTTAATGCACGTAGTGTTAAAATAACTTGATTGTCGTTCCTTGAGTTTGCTTGCGACACTGGTGTTAATGTAGGGCAGGGGCTGGGGCTGGCAATCAACACAGGAATGGACTTCTCTTTTTGTGACGCACTGGTTGTCGGTGATATTTCAAATGTGGAGGCGGTTGCCAGTTCGCTTTGATCAATTCTGTTTTCCAAGCCAGTTGGTTCATTGGTTATGTCTATATTAATTTCTATATCTAAGGCATTTGGCTTCTGCCGGCACAATTCGACTACTATGGTTTCTTTAGCTTGAAGGAACATTTGAACCGCTTCATACCTTGGCAAATGACTAATGTCATTTCCGTTTATCTGAAAAGAATATTTTTTTTCTATTAGTTCTATCGTTTCGTGTTCTTGCAATATATGCACATACTTTATTTTTTGTGAGACACAAAAATACATACATACAAATATATATTTCAATACATACAGCGTGTGCAAGCATGCACATATACATATTTGTGTAAATTTAATAGTTTGAATGTTTTAACGTACCTTTAACACAACGTACTCATATTCCAATTCAAAAATGCAATTATTCATATTGCTGATTTACTGTGAAATTACATTCTTTTATTTTATTATTTTTAATTTGTATACATATTTTATCGAGAAGAATGAAGTGTGACCAGATGCTAACGTGTTTTCAAGAAAATAGGGGGGCTCGTAGAACGGTGTTGCAGTGGCTTTTATCGATTTTTTTTGTTTTACCTGGCACTCGGAGAGTACCGCCCTTGGTGAAAGTACCTTCAGCTCCCCACAAGGGTAAAATATCTGTGGCATCCAAAATATTCAAGAAAGGAGATTCCTATACCTAATATATTGTGATCCATTTCTATTTTTATACCCGGTACTCAAAGAGTAAAGGGATATATTGTATTTGTGGTCGAAAAATGTAACAGGCAGAAGGAAACGTTTCCGACCATATAAAGTGTATATGATATTGATCAGTATCAATAACCGGTCGATAAATCCATCTATGTTGCTCAGAGACTATAGGAGCTAGTCACCAAATTCTATGCGAAGACTTATGTAATTTCCACTGAATAAAGTTTGTTTCACAAAAAGCGAAAACTCCTCAATTTAAAAGATAAGAGAATACTAAAGCCGCGACTCCGTAGGGAATGACCATATCTATCAGATCGCCGAATTGTGATTAGAATCCCTAATTTAGTCTTCGAGTACCGGGTATAAAAATACTCATGTATGTAGATTGGGATGTCAAAGCGAAACATCAAGCAAATTACCTTGCTCATTAAATATTTTGAAGTATTGAAGCCTCTAAATATATTTAAACAAAATTTAAAACGTTAGATTTAATAATCTTAGCTTAATAAAGATATTTTGATACCTGTTAATATAGCCGCATCCCATACACAAAATTCAGGAGCTTCTAAGTATGTACATACAATTATTTTTATTTATTCTAAATGATTGGTATTTAAATCGAGATAAAAATTCGACTTGATGGCTAGGAACAGCTGCATCCCTCCACAGACATATTTGGTATAACACTTAAAACCAGGTTATGGTTATCGTCGAAATATAACAAGCTTAAGGAACTCATTTTTGTTGGCGAACAGCAGGGCGTGGCCGAAGTCGTTAAGGCGGCCAGATGAGTGTGCGGATACTGCTCGAGGTATCCAACTCTGCAGTCGCCACTGCAAAAGTATGCATCAAATGACGTAGGTGCAACAACGAAATGCCATCCAAAACTTGTGAAGTTCACCTTGAGAGGATATCGACAGCACCTCATATCGTGATCACTTTCAGTACAGTCCATATAAACACTTCGTTTTCGTCGATGCTTTTTTTGTGATCCAATTTCTATATGAACCGTCTGAAACGAAAGCAAATAAATTTACCAGTTACCAGAAAATAATGGCGATGTATGTAAGACGCATACTAATGGATTATTCGATGTGTTATCGGTGGTCACAACTAACGGCTTCATCCAGGATTCTACTCCTTTTATAAGAATTTCATGGGATTTATTCGACCCGCGATCACCGAATACAGGTTTAAGGTCTACGTTGACCCACTGTCCTTGTCCTGATGGAATTTTTTGGCGAAATTCAAACATTTTGGCCTTGTGAGTAAAGCTTGTGTTATTTGCACGGCGCACTGCCCGATGAATAGCTACAACAATGTCTTTACTTTGCTGATTTTCAATCTCCTCAATGAGTTCCGGCTGATGGGTGCTTATCCAGTCCCAACCACGCAGATATAAATGCAGTGTAGCATATGATATGTCCGAGTAACTATTGTCGAATTTAAATCGAAGAACGTCTGTTTTACGGTTGTGTCGAACATGTGGTTGAAGCTCTAAATGAATGAAATTTAGAATTCGATAATTCGGAAGAAGATTTTATAAAATAGAGTTATGTAATATTAACTATTTATTGTGGAAGGACAGGAAATTTTAATTTTATTTTCTTGCATCTTATCCTCTACCCACCTATCGTTTTCTTAAGCATAGTCTTTATAGGGTCGGAAACGATTCCTCACTGTTTGAATTCCGCGTATAAAAGCTATCTAGCTCTCATAGGTGCGAGTTTTGTACTTACGTTCAGGAAACACGTATATGCTGCTTATGTGAGAAAGAATACTATCGTATTCATCATCAATATTATCCATTAGAAAATCTTGTTTTATATTTGGATGTGCCTGGATTCCTTTTCCAGGGTTATAAAGCAATTTAAACTGATTTAAAGCATTAGCATCATCCCCTTGCATTTGTGAAGACAAGCTCATGTCGGATTCACCAGCCAAATCGCTACTTTTATTAGTATTTTGTTCGTCTTTTTTTAGGACAGCTGGTGATAGCGGTTCTCCTGTGGATTCCCTGCGGCGCCAAATTGTATTTGTTATAGATGCATTGTAACCTTTATAGAAATCCTCTAAAATATTTTGTGGCACTGAGATAGGTTTGGTTATATTTGGTAGTTTTTTTAGATTTAACCGCATGAGTATGTGCATCTTAATCGACTCCAAGCTATCCTGCTTGGCTTTCTCGCGCAATTGGCGGTGTAATATACTGTCAATATTGATCAATGTATTTCGATTCATGGATACACCTTGAGCACTAGAGAAGGTCCCCGATCTAGACGTCGCTGTCAAACTTTGTCTGTTACGTTTGGTTTGAACATTTATTGGGTTTGACGGCGGACCAGGATCCTCTTGATGATGGTCCTCTGTCTTTTTTTTTTTAGTTGAGGAGAACGCATTGCCGTTTGAAAGTGTGTGAGTACTTGTCCTGTTATTCAATAAAATTATTTCGGGTCGAGCACTGACACTTGAAGAATCGCTTGAGCTTGAGTTAGTAGACTCTTGCTCGCTATTGGCACTGTATGCTGTTGGCATGACTAAAAGCATAAATAGCATAGCTATTGCCACACATCGATATATGAAAAAGGGGCATCCTGAATGTCTACTAATAACCTGCCGCTTCATATTCCTCGCTCTCAATTTGCAACAGCATATATCTCTTCGGGGAACTATTTCTGGGAAATCTATGCTATTGGAATCCGACTGTACGTGCACGAATGCAATTGCTCGTTTTGCATTTTCAAAAAGCCTTTTCATACCGCCACCCATGAGGTACTCATAATATTGACTCTCAGTTCTCTGTTCTTTCCCAATGCGGTACCCATTGGTGAGCATGGTTATTAGTCAAAATTGTCCGGTGAAGTGCTGAAAAAAAAAAAAATAAAATATTGGGCTTATATTATAATGAGCGATTAGTTTTTGGAGGCTGTTCTATAACTAATAAGGTTAAACGATTAACCGGTTTTTATACCCGGTACTCGAAGAGTAAATAGGGTATGTTGTATTTGTGGGGAATAACGGTTGTATGTAACGCACAGAAGGAAGCGTTTCCGACCCCATAAAGTATATATATTCTTGATCAGCATCAATAGCCGAGTCGATAGAGCCATGTCTGTCTGTCCGTCTTGTTTGTCGGCTAGTTCTCAGAGACTGTAAGAGCTCCGGACTGCTCAAAACCTCAAAAATCTACAGTTTTGAAGATAAAAGAAAACTAAAAACGCCATTCCGTAGGAATGGCCTTATCTATCAGATCACCAAACTGGGATCCGATCGGATCATTATTATAGCCACAATGGAAATTAATTTCCAGTGGCTAAGCCCACCCTGTCCCGCAGCTTTTGTTGCTCTTTTCACATTCTCTCATTCACACTCTGCTTCTGCTTCACTCGGCCCCTGCCTCTGCCCTCCCCCTGCCGATGCCTCTACCGACTTTTACCCATAATGCAACTATATAAGGAGGCCTCGTCGGTGGCAGAGTTACTCGGTGCTTTTCACAATTTTCAGTGCACGTTTGCTTGTCGACGCGAAAGGTTGGTTGCGGACAACATTTTTTTCTTCAAATTTTTTCAAAATGTTTTTTTTTTTTCAGAACACAGACTACTATTATGTAGCAAACTATTAAAAATTAAATTATGAAACAATTATTATGTTTTTTTTACGTTGCCTTCAAATGAATAATCAGCACACTCCATTGTCGTTGCCCTCACACTTACAGCGAGAGCCCTTTCACTCGCACTTTTCACTCGCACGTTTCCATAATTTTTTCCGACGAGACCTCCTTATATAGTTGCTTTATGCTTTTAACCCACCCCGTCCCGCAGGTTTTATTTGTTTTTTTTTTTTTTTTTTTTTTTTGCGGACGGTGCCTCTGCCTCCAGTCTGCAGTGTGCGTGTCTAGGGAAGGGCGGCGAGCTAACCGAGCGTGTTGGTGTGAGAAGTGTTGTAGATGTAGATGACAGATGAAGAAAACATTTAAAATTTATTGTCCCAATGACCAGTTTTGGTGGCCAAAAGCTAATTTTTAAAAGTTAAAACCAAGACTCGGTTTTTAACGCTCTGTATTAGAAAAAAAATGACCATCAAAGTTGCGTACCAGAAATTTCAATAGATGGCGCCACTTTCGAAAAATCTGCTGTGAAAGTTAGCGGTCATTATTGCACAGAATGTGCAGGGAAAAAGTACCAATTTTATTGCTGTTCTAAATATCTCATAAATTGGAAAATACGATTAACTGATCCAATTTTTTTGATGCATTTTACTACGTGTTCTGTAATGTGAACGATATCTAGTGGTTGGCGATGTCTCCTACATCTAGATGTAGTCCTGAGTGCCGGGTATAAAAGTTGTGACGCGTAAGAAGCGTCTCACAAGTCCCTTCTCGTTAATTATGAAATTTGATCTGATCTCTAAAAAATATATGAAGGTCCGATAATGAACGAGAAGGGATGTGTGAGATGCTTCTAACGCATACTACATCTGTACCGGTATTTTTAAAATTTTACATATTTTTTTCATCTGTTATCTACATCTACATCACTTCTCACGCCAACACGTTCTTTTAGCTGTCCCCCTCTATAGTTCTTTTATCTTCAAAACTGTGCCTTTGGAAAATTTTTGATTTTTGTGGGGCGGCTCTATTTTTTGTAATACACTGGTTTCAGTGTGAGCATACAGAAGTCTGGATGAAAACTTGGTTGCCCGGGCGGCGCTATTTTTTGTAATACACTGGTTTCAGTGTGAGCATACAGAAGTCTGGATGAAAACTTGGTTGCCCTATCACTTCTGGTTTCTGAGTACTAGGCGCTCATAAGGACGACAGACGGAAGGACAGACTGGCACGGCTAGATCGACTAGGCTATTGATACTGATCAAGAACCTACACATTTATATACTTTATGGGGTCGGAAAAGTTTCCTTCTCTGCGTTACAAACATCCACTATTCCACACAACTGCAATATCACCTATTCACTCTTTGAGTACCGGGTATAAAAAGATTATATAAAAATGTTCAAAAAATATACGAACTGTATGTATGAGCTGTATATCCATAGACTACGGTCCTTGTACGTTCTGGGACATGGTTATCGAAAAACCATGTATAATCATAGAATGTTATTACTTGGCTGTTCATTCATTGCTTCTAATGGACGATAAACAAATTGAGGCACATCAGTCAGTTATATAAAATTGTAATTACAAAATTGATGAGGGCTATAGTAAAAAATTGATTACACTTTTCGCAACCTTTTGTTTTTTGAAACTTGCATGTACGCAATAATGCACTCAGATTTTAAATTGAAAACGTAAGAGAATCTATCAAGTTTCGAAAAACAAAAGGTTTAATTAGCAGAACTCCTTCAACATTTCCTTTCCATCTTCTTGTTTTTCATGATTTGTGACGTGTCACAACTTATATACACGGCACTCAGGACGTCAGAAAGTCGGAAGAGGCAGCGGCAGGTGGAGGGCAGAAGCAGGGGCCGCGTGAAGCAGTAGCAGAGTGTGAATGAGAGAATGTAAAAAGAACAACAAAAGCTGCGGGACAGGGTGGGTTTAGCCACTGAAAATGAATTTCTTCATTCTGGCTATAATAATGATCCGATCGGATCGCAATTTGGTGATCTGATAGATATGGCCATTCACTACGGAATGGCGTTTTATCTTTTATCTTCAAAACTGTACATTTTTGAGGTTTTCGCCCTTTTGCGGGGACGGAAGGGGGCGTGGCTCATTTTTAAAAATACACTTGAAACAGTGTGAGCATATAGCAGTCTGGATGCAAAATTTGGTGGCTCTAGCTCTTATAGTCTCTGAGAACTAGCCGACAACCGAGACGGACAGACAGACATGGCGCTATCGACTCGTCTATTGATGCTGATCAAGAATATATATACTTTATGGGGTCGTAAACGTTTCCGTCTGTGTGTTACATATTTATTTATTTATTTATTTTTTATATATATATATATTTATTTACTCTTCGAGTACCTTGTACCTACCGGGTATAATAATTGTGACACGCAAGAAGCGTCTCACACGTCCCTTCTCTTTTTGAATGGATGCGGTAAAAGGGATATGGTAAAGTTAAAATGATTATTTATCTAAAACCCTGTTTCATTCAAAAGGCCACGGACCTATAAAACAGCCCTCGTCTGTATGTATGTACATATACATATGGATATATCATACATGCGTAAATGTATTTTCTGTGCATAAACGATTCACATGAATCTCATTCTCAGCTCTTGATCACTCCATTGTATTCAATTAAACCATTTATAAACATATTCAATTTTTGTGCTCTTGAACTTCGGTTCATCTGAAGCTGAAAGTGCAGTGTTCGTTTTGTTCTGTTCCCTTCACAGTTATAAGAAATCATACATCATATACATACATATTCATATGCACAAACGCATATACATATGTACACATACATGTACATAAGGATTAATTAGCCATAAGAGTACTTCTCTTCACTGAGATAACAAACATTTAAATTGAGCTATCTACATACGTACATATGTATACAAACTGTGTGTATTTATAAACATACATATGCGCACGCGAATTATATTTCGAACACTTGGAATTAGCTGATGTTTTACATGATAAATATGGACATGAACTAAAGTTTCGATGCGCACATATTTCAGTTGTTTCACTTTTCACAGCTGTGAATCTTTTTTCGCGTAATTAATATTAATATCCAATCACTACACGACGATCACTTCTTCCCGGTAAGCAGTGTGACCAGTGTGACCGCGAAATTATCGATAAAATATACTGTAAGGGCCTCGTAAATATACCAAAATATACCATTGCATCTTCTAAATATACCGTAAATATACCGTAGTCTTTAATCAGATTCCTCGATTTTGATGTTCTATTTGATATTACTAGCTTGCAAAGACTTTCACCACTGAAACAATAATTTAATCCGATTGAATAATCACTTTGGCTTATTATAAATAAGTATTTATATATATGTACGTAGAGGAATAATAGTGCCATAGGTATAGCGTATGATCTATGTATGTAAACGTAGGTAGTAATTATTACACGATAGAAAAAAGGTTCGTAATTGAAATTAGTAATCGATAATTGCTAATCATGACTGTTATCGTAATTACGCCTGCTTTTTGTTCAAATATTGGCGCCATACGTTTTTTTGTATTCATTTGTTTATTCCTTCTAATCTAGTCTTTTCTTATAATCTTGATCTTTCTTATAATTTTGAACAAATTTTGAGTGCGGGCGCCCATCGCGGGCGGTACTGCCGCAAGGCATTGCTTCGCACGCTCCAAGGCTCCTACTCCGTCACCTGCTTACGACTTCTCTCCAAAACTCTCCTCCACTATGCCGGTGCCGCACTCTGGACACCAATCCTCCGTCTCGTGGCCTAAGCGCTTGAGGTAGCTGCGAAAGCAGCCGTGACCACTAAGTGCATGGGTTGTTTTACCTGGCCGTGTTTTCTCTCGATCCAGGTTTGCAGCTTCGGGATGAGGGTATATGTCCAGCGCCCTTTAGATGAACCGTCCCACTGGGTCTGCCATCTACTGATGCTGTTCCTCCTTGCGGTAGGCTTCAGCTCGGCTCTTGTCGCCTCGCTTCCTCCCTGCGCGGCGGTGTGGATGCGTCGAGGTCATACCGCCCATTCCGCTGCCAGACACTGGCGAAGGCACTGGCACGGCGGACGGTAAATGTCCGCAAACTCCTGGAAGCAGCACTGTGGACTAGCCGACAGGCATCACATTGAACATTCCCACAACGGGCACGCCACCAGCGACGACTGTCGGCCCGCTAACCGCCACTCGACGACGCAGGAGCTGCTGTTGTTGGAGTTTCTGCTGGAGATGCTGCTTATGCTTGATGTTCGGACAGAAGGACACGGGACCCTTCTGCTCCTGGCAGTGCTTAGCATGGTAGCAACAGAGGGCAATCAGCTGCTTGCAGATGGGGCAGCCACCATTCGTCTTACGCTTGCAGTTCTTGGTGTTCAGAACGACGCGTTTCATCTTTTGGTAAAAGGGCAGGCGACAATTGGCGTCGCGGCACAGGCAGGCGTGCACCAGACTGTTTGCGCGCCTCCGGTCCGCCGGTGCAGAGCCGATGTCAAAGCCGAGCTTCTCCATTTTATGGGGATGCCCGACCTTCTCTTGAACACAATGCACAGATCAAAGTAGTATGCTATGATACCGTGCATTAGATCGCAGGTAAGCAAGGGATCGGGGTCTTGTATGGGCGCTAAACTGGCATCAGACTGTGCCGAGTGCAGGCGTGTAACGAACGAGAAGGGACGTGTGAGACGTCACAACTTTTATACCCGGTACTCAGTACTACATCTGTTCCTTAGCGGGTTTTTGTCAAATTTTACATTTTTCCTTCATCTTTTATCTACATCTACAACACTTCTCATGCTAACACGCTCCTTTAGCTTGCCGGGCTTCCCTAGACCCACACAGTGCAGACTCGCGGCAGAGGCAGAGGCCGAAGCAGAGTGTGAATGAGAGAATGTAAAAAAACAAATATAAGCTGCGGGAAAGCTGGTATTAGCCACTGCAAATTAATTTTGTGGCCATAATAATGCCCAATTTGGCGGGGCTAATTTTTTAAATACACTGGTATTTGTAAATATTATAAGTTCGGAGTGGATTGGGGGGTATTTCTTCCATCTTTAAAACATAATTGTGGCTAGAATTCGGCTTCGACATTATCATTCATAATTCATTATGATCATTATCGTCCAAATAATCCCCCATGGAAGGGGGATTTCTTCGATTTTAATTATATATATTTTCTATAGTCAAATATTATTATTTTATATTTAGTTTTTATTTGAGTTTAGCGAAGTTTAGTTTGTGTCAAAAAACTAAGGTGTCGACAACTGGTAAAAACGTCACAAAAAATTGCAGGTGCGCAAGGTAAGAAACTCCGTTGTTTTCATGATCCATGATGGATTTTTAGATAAAAATAAATGATGTTTATTGGTTGATTGATTCAACCAATGAAATTGGAGATAATAATTATTCGAAAAATTACTGTCGAACAAATAATAATATTTATTTGAAATATAAAACCATAGACGCACAAGGCGAGCGTTGGTTCAGCATTCTCCGGGCATTGTCCTGACATTTTCTTCAAGGTAAAAGGCATATACATATAAGTATGTACATGTATGCAAGTCTTGATTTCAACCAATAAAATTGAGAGAGAAAATAATCGGTACTGATATTTATTTGAAAATTTAATTTTATTTAATTATCTTTTATGCCTATTGAATAATATAAACTGCACAGCCGTTTTATGCATAGAGGCACAAGGCGAATGTTGGTTAAACATTGTTTCGGGCATTTCTGCTGTCTTCAGATTTTCTTAGAGGTGCTTCTTCTCAAATATCTTACATTTGGTTGCAATGAACTTAGCATTCTCTAAAGCTAATAAATGTACCCAAACTCTTCGTGGTTTTAACTGACCGTTTGAAAAATATTAAGCTTTAAATTGTTGAGTAGTGTTATAAGTCATTGCGGGCTCTGAAAAAACAAGTGTTCTTTTATAGACTTCAAAGGCTATGGACTTATTAAACCTTACGTATCAAAATGATCTCCATAAACAGGAGACCTTTTGGCGGCGACCTGCTGGCCTTATGGGAGAATGCTGTCGCGCAGAAGCCCACCGGGCGTTGTGCTATCCGTCCACGTTTAGGAACTGGAGCAAGTTAAGGATGTAGTGCAACGCAGTTGGACCTGGATGGAATGCCCTTCAGCCTGAGGCAGGTTAATGAAGGAAAGCTGGAGTCTTTCGGTCAATCTCTAAAGGTCATAAAACTATTTATCTTGGAGAGCTTGACGGATCCGAGGGACTAGCATTTAAGTTGTTGATTTAAGATATTAGGTATTATTATTAGATATTAGTACGCCAATTGGATTCGACCTTAAATTTGTATCGGTATCGGAAATATATACTTTTTAAACTTTCATTACCAAAAATACCGACTCTTGCGGTATCTTTAAGCTTTAACGGTATTTAACCAATCAAAACATTTCAAAAATTGTCCACAATTTACATTACATTCAATGTACATAAGCCATAAACACAAGAAAGCGCTCTCTGGCGTTGGTTTTTCCAGCACTTGTGGCGCCATCTAGTTAAATTCCTTATTGGCAGTGGTATTATTGTTTTCATGGAACTGTTATACATATGTGTAATTCCAAGAACTTTGACGGCAATTCTACCGCCTATCCGTTTTCGCAGAATTCGTCCTGCCTCAGTGCGCATTATAGCATCCAAGTTTATTTTTTAAGCAGTTAAGTTAGTTACTCAAATTAGTTTTTTACATAAATACAAATTATCACTTTTAGTCTCACCTGATTCACTCATGTTCATGGAGATGTGCATCCTGCGTCCCTTATCTAACTGTCGGCATGTTTATCATACATTGGCCTACATAAATTTAAGTCTAGGGCTTGCACCCCTCAAGCTAGTAAATTTAGTATGGATTAAATATGGTAGAAAACCACACGTTGGACCGCTAAATTACAGAAAAAGTAGTCGTACGCGTAGAGTGAATAGGGTATATTGTTTTTGTGGGGAAAAGTGGATGTATGTAACACACAGAGGAAACGTTTCCGACCCCATAAAATATATATGTATATGTTCTTGATCAGCATCAATAGCCGAGTCGATATAGCCATGTCTGTCTGCCCGTCCGTCTGTCCATCCTTATGAGCGCCTAGAACTCAGCGACCATAAGAGATAGGGGAACCACACTGTTAGAAGTGTCTAACACGTTCCTACTCCTTATTTTACAAATTACGAATAGTTAGGTTTGTGGTTGAAGCTAAGTCGAAATTTTTTCTTATTCGCTGAAAAATGTCCAACCAAAAAACACTTTTTATGAAATTTCCTTTTTATTTCATTATCTTGTGTTAATGCTAAATTTTTCTTTTGTATTTTAAGTAATATAATTAATCAGTCAGCAAAACAACTGCATGTGGTTGCATAAGGGGATGCCGCAAACTTAAGGTAAATACTTACCTTCTAAGAGACTAACAGACCACAAACTAGCCCATTTTTCATTCGCAACTCCTTTAAGACATTTTCCCGAATTTAGAAGCAGTGGCTGTTGCTATAAAGTGTATAGTATAAATATTTGCAAACGCAGGTCGTCCGTGCTTGGGTTCGTTCAATGCTTGCTCTTTTCAATTTTCAATGCTGTTGTGTGGTTGCGGGCGGGGTGTGATTTTGGTTTGCGGTTTGTCAAGTGGCCTCACTCTCGCCCCGTAGAGGACCACTTGATGATTACCGCACATAAATGGAGTTTGTCTGTAGTTTGAGATTTGTATGTAAATATGTAAATCATATGTATGTATGAATGTAGGATGTACTCATGTACTCATGTTCGTAGGTAAGTAAAACATATGTACATATGTATGTATGTATGTATGTGCTGTACGTTTGCGCATGGGTACCAAAAATCAACCTAATTATAGAGAAATGTTTGTCCAACAAGTCTGGATTTGTAATCCATGGTTAGGGCTTCGTCCAGGTATTTTATGTAATTAAACGTCGACAGACCTAGAAACGCACACAAATACAAACATGTAAAAATGAATTTTAATTCAATCTCACAGAGCCCTGCTGCATATCCTTGCAACTTCCACTCATTGTTATTCGTTCGTTGTTTTGGGCAGATCGAACATTTTGATCTTCAGTGGCACAGCGTGT